TGTTTCTGGTGTCCTTCGACAGCTCTTTGGTCTTCACCATAGTGGAGTTTGGAGTGTGACTGTTTGAGGTTGTGGACAGGTGTCTTTTATACTGATAACAAGTTCAAACAGGTGCTATTGATACAGGTAATGAGTGCAGGACAGAGGAACCTCTTAAAGAAGAAGGTATAGGTCTGTGAGAGCCAGAAATCTTGCTTGTTTGTAGGTGAGCAAATACTTATTTTCCACCATAATTTGCAAATAAATTCTTTCCAAATCAGCCAATGTGATTGCCTGGATTTTTTTCTCATTTTGTCTTTCATAGTTGAGGTCTACCTATGATGCCAATTACAGGCCCCTCTCATCTTTTTAAGTGGGAGAACTTGCACAATTGGTGGCTGACTAAATACTTTTTTGCCCCACTGTATATATATATATATATATATATATATATACTGTATATATATATATCATTGTAATCTTCATGTATTCATGTGTTGAAAACATGTTGTTTAAAAATTTTAAAAAAAATGTGTATTTTTAGGTTTAGGGAGTCTCACTTCTAGTGCTGCACAGTTATCTTTATGATAATAATCTATTTGGTGTTAAGATGTTGGTTGATTAATCCTTTTGTGTTCAGTTTTTGGCTGCGCGGTGACACGTTATAATTTTCACATTTCCTAGCTGGTACTGTCTGTATTGCTGGCTGGTTGATATTTTTGCCTGCACACCGAAGGAAATGGTGTTACCAAACAGCTGTTCTGTACAACCAGAAGTGACTGCTCTGTCCTAGTTCTCTATTATTTCCCAGTATATCCTGGGATACAGGAACCTCCACTGTTTCTCCCCCAATGCCCAGTTAACACTTCATAAATGCTTAACTAACACGCCTTAAATGCTCTAGGTGCTGTTAGGCCTTCTGAACTTAACAAACGCACCTATAGCGTTAATGAAGTTATTCAATTAGTCTGACGTGCATTTAATGCATGTTAAAAGCATTAAAAATTCTCCCCAAATGCCCTATGCGTGTTTTTGGCGTGTGTTAAAGTGGATGCCTTTTTTTTGTCTGTTGTGAACAAGGCCTAACATGCTGTAAATGCGCTGCAAGTGCATGCCAAAGCGTTTATGCTGCATTAATAAAGACTTGAATGGAAGGAGTTGAGATGCTTAAACTCCTTCCAAACTCCACATAAAGCTCCATTTTTTTAAACGCAGCAACGCGACACAACACAAACGCATCATGTTTTGACAGATAAAACACTTCTTACAAACTAGTATACGATACCCTGAGGGTCTTAGAATACTTACATATTTTGAATCCAAATGTGCTTTGGACCCACATGCCCTTGATTTGATCTACATTGTCTACAGGCAACTCATGACACCCTCATCACAACAACCAACTGCTTATACTCAAAAATGGTCATCAGATCTAAGAACTAGGAGTTAGATGCTAGCAACGTGGTGAATATTTGGGAAACCACTAAATCCTGCTTAACTAATGTTCTGGCAGTGGAGATGAATTACAAAGTTCTAACCAGCTGGTACCTGGTTCCCCTTAGAGTGTCTCAATACAATCCAAGTTGCCCACACACTGTTTTTGCAACTGTGGCCAAGTTTCTCCACAACAGTTCCAAATCCTAAATTTGGAATATATCCCTTATGCCTTTAGAATATTTAGAAAATAGACAATTGAACACTTTAAAGTACATTTTCTGTTTAAAAGTTGAATTTTTTTAAACATTTAAACCTTAATTTCACAGATTATCTATCTGTGAGCTACACTGCCAAAAGGTTAGGTATTACATCCACAGCCACCTCTTTGCTTATTTTCTCATAAAAAGAAAATAGATTTGTTTGATACTGCTTCATAAATCTGTGCTAACTGTTGCTTGACCATTCAAATATTGTTAATACAAAAGAAACTTAAGTTACAGGTTTGAAGTCGTGACCTCTGACTTCTTCCTAGGTTTTTTTTTTTTTACTCAATAGGTGAAGTAGAGCAGCACGCATACTTCACACAACAGTTACATATGTGCATCACCGCTGCTGCCTGCCAGAGCTCTCATGACCATGCAGGTAATCATCAGTTATGTGACCAGCAATCCTCAGAGAAGACAAAAAACAGAACTGCTCCCGATAAAGAGAATATAACTTAATGCCCCAATGGTAAAAACTGTTTGAACAAGAATTGTGACCAGAGTTTGATGAGAGCCTAAGCCAGGGCAAAAGGTACCAGACTGGTGCCATAACATTTGGTATTTACCAAGCATAACAGCACAAGATACCTGCTGGACAACATTGAAGCAGTTTCAGGATCACTGTTCAACACCACTGTTCAGTAAACATATGATAGGCAAAATAGTGGGAGCTCCAGAACAAGAATTGCTTACAACAAGGTTGGTGATCCATAAAGCTGCACTAAGGCGATGACTAACACTTATCCTCCTCCAGCTGTCGAAGGAAGTGCACCAGATCATGGAACAAGTCAGGAACAGTCTTTGACACATAAAGGGTGACCGACAAGGGAGATTTCATCCGGGACTCTGACTCTTTGTGCAAGGACAGAAGTGACATGTCCAATGCCGACATACGATTCTTTAGGAAGATATGTGTGCACAATAGACACTACTGTCAAGGGGGCACTATGAACTCAAAAAACCCTTGCAACATTGAGGAGTGAGACAATGTTGTAAATGGGTATGCCAGGGTTGAAAACCATGTTTCATAGGGTACTTTTACAATTAAAGGATATATGGGACAGGGATGGCCAGACTGATAACACAGGAAAATCCAGCACAGTAGAAAAGACAGTAATAGTCCACTGAAGCCCTGGCACTCAACCAATGCCCTCTAGCATACAAAGAAGGAATCCAAGAATGCAGACTTCAACAATGCTCATACCTGAGAGAGAATGGTGAACAGGAAACCTATAGCCATAGTGGAGCTGACAACTGACTCCATGCCTCAATGAGTTTCCAGAGTATGGACAACAGATCAGTGACAATATTCAGCTAGAAAGGAACTGAAGCCAGAGTGCAAAAGCACCTCTAGAAGTCATGTTTGAGGAGGATTTATAGTCACTAGTTTGTTGATTAAAAAAACAGAAGGCCCACTGGTGAAGGGAATCCAACAGAGGGAGAAGGTATTCCCTCTAGATAGACAAGGTCTTCTGAAGGTATCTCACACTTGTAGAGCACAAAAAGAGCATGACTCTTGTACTGTTGAGAATCTTAAGAAATAAAAAGACAGAAGCAAGCAGTGAAGAGACAATGCAGGATTAATATACGATCAAAGTAAAACATCTAGTACATCTTCGAGATTTCTACTTTTATTTTTCAGGGATCCTAGTAACCAGACAACTGTCCACCCACCATCAACCTCAGTTGTGAGGTCAAACCTTCATGCCAGACAAGCTGTGGGTGCTAGTCCAGCACATTGAGTCTGCTAGGGTCTCCTAGCCCCTGGTGATCATAGCTATGTAAGGGTATTGAAGTCTCATCTAGTAAGGAACAATGGAGCAAGGTCACTTTGCTGAGCTTAGTACTTAAAAGCTCTGTGGGGAAATGTACCTCTGTGCTTGTTCCAAAGGGATGGTCGCCCCCAAGAGGGAGGTACAGAACGAAATCCTGGAAATCCAATACATAGGCCAAAACTTCAGCCTTAATTACCTCTGTATCTAGACACACAAGAGGAGCGCATATGCAAAACCAGTCAGGTTTGCATCAGGCATACAGTAAATCACCTGTGTCATATCATCCACACACAAAAGTGTACCCATTCCAGAATGCCCATTTGAAAACCAACAAAATGACACCATTAAAAATAGACTACAGAAAGGTACCAAAAACAATAAAATAATCCATATAATAATCAATGCATGTAAATATTCACCTTTCTTTAATAATACACCAAAATACTTAAAATTACCATGGTACTTTACACTCCATAAAAGCAAAATATCATCATGCTCCACAGGGAAATTTCATACCATCAATGACAATATCATCAAATTTAAAAAAGGTGACTGGTTTACATGGCTATTGGTAATTACATTTGTTAGAATTGATCATTTACATGGATTAGTTTATTATTTTTGAAACCTTTCCTTAGTAATCTATTTTTAACAGTGCAATTTTATTAGTTTTCATATGCTTTAAAAGATTACCACATATTCTGGAAGGGAGGGGAGGTTTAGTAGACCTTTTCTTTTGTGCAGATAGACTTGAGCCTTTATAGAGAAAATAAAAGCCTGCATATAAACACCTCAAAGTCTGACCTGGGAATCAAGGCATCATTGGGTCTTGGTGATGAAAGAATTAATATTTCCCCCACTGACACAGGTTTGCTTTTGTAATGATTGTAAAACAAAAAAATATATGATTGAATAGATAGCTACATTTGTCAAAAGTATGGAGTATTCCTTAATAAACTTGTGGATTATACCTTAATAAACTTGTAGATTATTACAATTTTTTTCTAAATGCTATCATAATAAAAACGTGAATGCAATATCCAACATTAGTAGGACACGAGTGGGCGAATCATGTCTGTCATGTGTTATAAAAAAAACTAATTTTAATGAATGTGGAAAAAAGTTTCCAATTTCATAATTGTGCTAGAGACACAAAAAAGGTTTCTCTGCTGTGTTACAAATCTGGTAAAAATTAAGAAAGTCCTGTTTTGGTCCCCTGATTTCAAGTGCCCATGAACCTCCACAGCCCTCTGGTTATGGCTGAGTTGTACACCATTCAGTGTTGTGGCTTCTAAAGTCAGGAGGCTATTGATTTACATGTTTTACATTAGTAGTGAAAAAAATATTTTAAAAAAAATCTTTGTTTTATATAGCCATTGTAATATTGTATGTAATATTTCATGTCTGTTTTTAATCTACAGTTCTTTTTTTTATAGCAGATCACATATACATTGTACAGCTACAAATATAAAATAATTATATTATAAAATAAATGCACATATTAAATACACTTCAACACTTTTTTTTTAATTGTTTTGAGAGTTACCTTAGGCACCCAGTGGCATTGCGCAGCACCTGTGATGAATGTAACTGTATTTTACGATCATCCTGTAAGATAGTGTTTTCCCACCCCGAATGAGGGATAATCACTGCATTGGTCAACACTGCGAGGGCATCTTGAATAATTGGCATTTTAAGGGCATCACATGAAGACAGGTTCCACAGAACTCCTACATGCATTAAAACAGCAATTAATAAAAAATAACTCAATTTAAAAGTATAGTTTGTTCTTATTTTAGTTTTCACATGTGCATTTAAACCCCCCCCCCCCAAAAAAACCCCAAAAAAAACAGAAAAACGCCACGCTCTACCTTCAATTGGAACTTAAATAACCACAAAAGCTGCTTGCTTTCTGTGATAAATAAAACCATTAAAATCTTACCTTATTGTGGATCCAATAAGATCATTAAAAACCTACAAATACCTTTAATATGGTACAAAAAAATGCATCCAACATTGTAATGCTTAGTAGAGCCTGTGTGAGAGATGCCATTCCATTCTGCATCTGCATGACTACCAAGCATTACAACATTGGGATCCACAATTTTTAATACTGTTTTAAAAATTTGTTGTAGTTTAATGTTCTGAAAAAAATTGCTGCTGACAGTGGGTATACACTTACCGGCCACTTTATTAGGTACACCTATTCAATTGCTTGGTAGTACAATTTGCTAATCAGTCAATCACATGGCAGCAACTCAATGCATAAGGCATCTAGACGTTGTGAAGATGACTTGCTGAAGTTCAGACCAAGCATCAGAATGGGGAAGAAAATGGATTTAAGTGACTTTGAACGTGGCATGGTTGTTGGTGCCAGGCGGGCTGGTTTGAGTATTCCAAAAACTGCTGATCCACTTGGATTTTCATGCACAACCATCTCTAGGGTTTACAGAGAATAAAAAAAAGAAAAAAATATCCAGTGAGTGGCAGTTGTGTGGACGAAAATGCCTTGTCGATGTCAGAGGTCAGAGGAAAATGGGCAGACTGGTACAAGATGATAAAAAGGTAACAGTAACTCATGTCAATATGGACCAACATCTCTACGGAATGTTTCCAACACCTTTCTGAAGTGATGCCATGAAGAATTAAGGCAGTTCTGAAGGCAAAAGGGGGTAAAATACGGTACTAGCAAGGTGTACCTAATAAAGTGGCCGGTGAGCGTAAAGTAAAGCTTGCATTTAGCCAAGGTTTTGCAAGGAACATCATCATAATCCCTGGGTGTGCTATCGAGATTAACTGCTGTAGACGCAGGTGATTCCTTCACAGGAAAGATTTACCAAAGTGCGAATTTACCTCTGTGAATGCAGTGAGGTCTAACTTAATGGTAAGTCTTTTTTTAATTTGAGGTGGAGCATTCAGCTTAACCACTTGCCGTCCGCCTGCTGTTTATAAACGGCAGGACGGTGGTACTCCAGGGGTGGGTTGCCGTTCATAAACGTCACCCACCATTTCTAGCCGTGCGGCTCCCTGGGAGCGCGCAGCACTGCGATCCAGTGCCCGCTGTGTCCTCCGGACACAGTGAAACGATCGTCGGACATGATCATGTGATCATTGATTGGCCAATCAGTGATCACATGCAAAGTAGTAAGCAAGATGTCACTTCTGACATCATTGCTTACTACGTGTGAAATCTGTGAATGATCACAGAGGTGACATGGTACAAGGCTATTCACAACATCCTTGTACCATGTGACAAGCTGTGACCAATCACAGCTCACTCAGTATTTCTCAATGGCTGCAAGAATGCAGACAGAGAGAAAGAGAAATGATTGCTTTTACATCCTATATGGGTGTAAAAGCAATCACTGTAAAAAAAAAAATCTTCATCACCCTCCACAAGTAGTACATGATGACACTGTACTGCTAGGGTGACCGTATGTAAAAAAAAAAACCCATAATAATAATAAAAAAACTAAAATAAAAATGTAAAAATTGTTTTAAAAAATTATAATTTTTTGTTATAAACTAATTTGGCTTATTCTTTTTTTACTAAAAATATAATGGAATACATTTTGGCCAAGATTTATGATGAAAGATTATTTATTTGCAAAATGTTATAAGAAAAACACTTTTTTTCAAAATTTTTGGACTTTTCATTTGCATAGCAAAAAAAATTAAAATCCCAGCGGTGAATAAACACCACCAAAATAAAGCTTTATCTGTCTCAAAAAAAAAGTAAAAAATTCATATGGGTACAGTATTGCATGACCGCGCAAATTGTCATTCAAAGTGTGATAACGCTGAAAGCTGAAAATTGCCCTGGACAGGAAGGGGGTAAAAGTGTCCGGATAGGAAGTGGTTAAGGCCTCATGCACACTGGGCGTTTAGCTCCGATGCATGGGAATCCGGCATTTTGGTGTGGGTGAAAGCTGCTGTGGCAGAGCTCTAAGGAAAGGAGTTCGAGACTCACGAAATGCCTTAACATACTCTGTCGTAGGACCTCTATTGTCTGGGACTGTTACCTTTGGTTCCTTGTCTGTTTACATGACCCTTGGTTTGAGAGTATATATTTGTCTATTTTTTAATAAATCCTTTTTCATCACGGTAATGCACGAGGAGAGTGTACCCTTTTGTGTTTTCTTCTAGAAGTGTATGTGTGCATATGTATGTGGAAAACAAAAGTTCTACCAATACACCTAATAAAAATGTAGTGGCTGTTACATACTGTATATAAAATTATTTTGGATGAGTATTACACTTTATAACACAGGCCACAAATCATCATTAAAGTATATTGCTATCTTTAAGTATTGATATTGATGTAAGGAATCTGGTTCCCCTGCAAGCAGTATCTACACCCCTGGAGATCTCCATGGTCTCATTGGCTTGTAGTGTAATATTGTAAATGAAGGTGCCAAAATGCTAAAATTTCCACATAGGACTTCCAATAAAGGGACAATCCAAACATTATCCAACACAATTTGGGGTCCAAAAAAAAAACTTCATCAGGGTTTGAATGAAAGCAATGTGAATGGACTAGAAGTGAACTGAACCTTTGATGGCATGTTGTTCAGTGTGATTACAAGCAAATGTTGTGTCAGTAGCTGGTTTGGCAGCAAGTCAAAGGTTTTTATTGATGTCTGTGTCCCTTATAGAGAGATTTACTCTAATTGTTCTATTTAACACGGAATATCACTGAAAATTAAAGTGATGGGAAATACAACAACTAGAGATGCTACCAGAACAAGAATAAAGCAAATGTGTCAGGGATGGGTTCATGGGGATTTGTCAAAGCCACTATGAAGGATGAAAATTGCAAACTTAAACCGAACCCCACTGAAGTCCATGAGGGGGTAACTTTATAATCAATTCTGGCCATTTGCAAGGGTAATAGGCAATGCCATTGGGAGCTGGGCACCGCTATGAGGTATAGGTACAAAAAAAAAAAAAAACCATACAGCTGGGAGAAGGTCCTTTGAATGCAAAAAAACCACCAATCCTTTCAATAACTTGCTTGGGAGAGTCCTTTAAGCTGTATGGGCCTGTGGAACAGTATGCCAGCATTAGTGACTCCTTATTCTGGCATTACATATTTGGGATGTTTAATGGGTTTTCATATTTTTATGTATAGCTTGGCACCTGAAGCACACCAATCTGATTCTTTACTTTTAGAAAAAAGGATTTTTGTCTGCGAAAACTGATTTTTTTATTCAGCGGTAGTAGGTCTGAATTGAATGGTAGAAATAGTAGACACAACAGATCTAAAACATAGTTACATAGTTAGTCTGGCTGAAAAAAGTCCATCCAGTTCAACCATAAAAAAAAAAGTTACAATCCTACACCCACAGTTGATCCAGAGGAAGGCAAAAAAACCCAGCAAAGCATGATCCAATTTGCTCCTGCAGGAGAAAAAATGCCTTCCTGATCCCCCGAGAGGCAATGGGATATTCCCTGGATCAACTTTACCTATAAATGTTAGTATCCAGTTATATTCTGTGTATCCAAGAAAGAATCTAGGCCTTTATGGAAGCAATCTACTGAGCTGGCCAGAACCAACTCTTGAGGCAGTCTATTCCCCATTCTCACAGCTCTTACTGTGAAGAAACCTTTCCGTATTTGGAGAATTTCCTTTCCTCCAAACGTAAAGAGTGCCCCCTTGTCCTCTGTGATGACCTCAGGGTGAATAGCTCTACACCGAGTTCACTATATGAACCACTGATGTATTTATACATGTTGATCATATCCCCCGTTATTAATCTCCTCTTCTCAAGAGCGAATAAATTCAGTTCCTCTAATCTTTCGTCATAGCTGATCTCCTCCATGCCTCATATCAGTTTAGTTGCCCTTCTCTGTACTTTTATGTACATACGTGATTTTGCAGTTCTCTGTAGGGGGTGTGTGCCGCCATTCCCGGCATCGGCTGTCAATCACTCGGTTCTGGTCGGTGCTTACTCACCAGCACCCGGTGATCACTGAGTATCTCCGATGGGGGAGATAGCTGTGTGCAAACAATACAGATCCCTCCCCTTTTAGCTCCTGCACACTGCTGTAAACAGTGTTCTTACAATGAATTTAAAAAATTTAAAAATTTTACATTCACTCAATACACTAAAATCTGTTAGTATTACATTACTGTATCAAACCATTTCACATACATTTTGTCCCGAGTGCTTTGTCCGGCGCCCTGCCTGCATTTTTACTGTTCTTTCTGCCTGGAAACTGAGAAATGTCCATGGCGTCCAAAAAGCGTCCCTTTAGGTCAAAAGCGGTTTTAGACCAGGTAGAGAACAGCGATAGTAAATTAGAACCACTTGCATAATTGAGTGATAGTGATTTGTGGGGAATTTCGTCATCAGACACTGAAAACGATTTTGCGAACTTGGCGCTCTATTTCAAATTTCAGTGTTTTTGGTTTGATTACATTATTGAATAAAATTTAGTATTATATTATTATTTTTTATGATTATTTATTATATTATAATTTATGATTTTGTGTTTCAAATTTTATCATACCCGGATGTTTACTAGACTCTTGTTCAGACAGATTTCAGTGAGTTATTCCTAAGAATTACAGGCCTACAATAGAAAAACAACATATTTCCATTGAAAACAATATACCGCTTTGAGCACAGAAATACTGACATAATCAGACTGCTAGGGAGGTTAATCACCACTTCTCAGTACCGCTAGGGAGGTTAATCTCCTCTTCTCAATAAATTCAGTTCCTCTA